CGAGCCGACATATACAAAATGACAATGAATACAAGCCAAGAAGCATGATTTTCAAGATTCGCCGACATGAATGCAAAATAAAGCCGACATAAGCACGGATCCAAAACAAGCTTTCAAAACAGTCTAGGCGTCGCCGACGTCCTGCTCATCACCTACATATATATAGAGAGGGTGAGCTTGGATACTCAGTGAATGGTACTAGAAATAAAGGTTTTGCATGAATATAGCCGAAGTCTTTCAAAACGAAACATGCCAAAAACCATACGAATATTACCCGAAATCCTTTCAGAACAAAACACATCAAAACTTTATCAAAATAAGGGATGAACCGTATTCATCTATCAAAGTCTTACAAGTCTCAAGGGATGCTTACTGGCATTGGCAAAACACAAATCAAGCTTTCCGAACAAACAAATCCACGAGGTAAACCGTCAATGGCAAAACAAAGACTGCACGATCCGTAATCGATTAGTCAAGGGTACTGCGAAAGTTTATAGTCCTCCAGCACAAGGGACTTGTGTTACTTAAGCCCGTAGCTCTTTTTAACACGATGGAACTTGTGTTACTTAGGCCCTTAGCCCGCTTTAACATGATGGAACTTGTGTTACTTAGGCCCGTAGCCCGTTTTAACACAATAGTCTTTCCAAGAAAGGACCGTATCCTTTTTATACTTAGTGCTGCGAAAGTTTAGAGTCCTCCAGCACAAGGGACTATCCGAGGAGGTCATCAAAACAAAGCTTACTTGATACATTGTCATTCAAAATGAAGCTTATACTTGGTACATCAAAACAGAGCTATTCATTCATACTTAACAAATACTTTCGTCAAAACAAAGCAAAGCAAGATTTATCAAAACAGTATAACATAGCTTTATTAAAAATACCACTCACATAGTTTTCCTCGGGTGTAGGCTCAAAGCAAAGATCAAGGACCTACAATCACATGGCAATCACATTCTCAAAACAATCTTTATATGCATGCAAATGATCCCGGCATTCTCACCAGATCCAAGTCAATAACAAAGCAAAACATGCTGGCAGTTTAAGCACTGCTCCCATATCATGAAAACACACTGGGTACCAACCAGGTCTTTGCCGAGGTCCCATACCTCCTTTCCGAGGTGTGGTCCCGATGGCCTCATTCAAAAGCAAAGTCGGGAAAACCTGGGTTTCCCTTTGAAGAACAGGAAGAACGTGATGAACATGATCATGAGGAAGATGAATGCAAGATCATAACTGGTTACAAAAATCTGAGATTTCATGCCATGAGTTCAAAACATGGACCTGGGTACCCATACAAGAAGGTCATACAAGAACAAACACAAAACATGTTTCTTGTTCCAAACTTTCGGATCAAAACGAGACTTTCCTTCAAGAACACATGAACACTATCTTTCTCTTCCGAAACCAACTTCAAATGGATGCATGACATGCAAAACAGATTCGATCATGCAATGTAGCTAGATGATCAATAAGAACAACAAGAGTAGGTTAAGATTCTAACCTCAAAACTCGAATCCAACGGTTCAAACCTCGAAGATCAAGCTTAGAAGATCTATTCTCACTCAAGAACTTCTCCTCCTTCTCTCTAGAGCTTTTCTCTCTAAAGGAGGAGAAGTTCAACTGGATGCATGGCGCTACCAGGTTGGTTCAACTCAAAAGGTGATTGATTGATAAGACAAGTCTATGACAAAGCGTATGCAGCAAGCTAGGGCAAGACACATCGGCAAATAATAACATCGGCTAAAGTCAAAGCTTCGGCAACAGGGTAACAAAGACATCGGCTAGGGAGGACGACACTTGACTAAGCTGTGCCACACCTTGGCCGGGGTGTGCCACACCTCGGTCTAGGCCATACCTGCCCAAGGACAAGGATCACTAAGTGCAAAACATCTCGGCAACCATGCCCGAGGTGAAGATGAGGGTCGACCAAGGCTCCAAAACAGTTCTAAGTACAAGGGTTCAGAGGTGTACTAAGCTCAAGATGACCTCGGCTACACACCAAGCAAGGAATAAAATCATGCAAGCAATACTTTAAACAAAACAAGGCAAGGCATGACTTGCAAAACAATATAACAAGACAAGATCATGCATGAATGTATGCAAGTATGACAAGAGTAAGGTGAGGGTCACTACACCTACAGTCTCTGATGTTCCTACTGTAAGTCCTATTTCCTCTGCTCCAACTATGTCTGGTTCTCCTCTTGTTTTTCGTTCCTCATCAGCAGCTCCCATGCTTACCACTTCTGGTCCTGTACAAGTTGACGCTGATGGTCCTACTCCAACAATTCCAATCTCTTCCATTTCTATTGATTTTCCTTTTCTTCCTTCTACCTCAAACACCCATCCCATGTTCACCAAGTCCAAGTCTAGACCTCTCTCTTCTACCTGTCTTCTCACTTCTTCTTCTTCTCCTGCTCCTACTGAACCTGATAATTTTCAAGCGGCTACTACATCTCCTCAATGGCAAGCAGTTATGCTAGATGAGTTTCAAGCTTTGCAAAGACAAGGCACTTGGTCCCTTGTGCCTTTACCTCCAGACAAAATTGCTATTGGCTGCAAATGGGTCTATAGACTCAAGAAAAATTCAGATGGATCCATTGCTAGGTATAAGGCTAGCTACATTAGTAGCCAAAGGTTTTCTTCAAACTAAGGGCATTGACTATCATAAGACTTTTAGTCATGTTGCAAAGCAGCCCACAGTTCGAGTTCTTTTGTCCTTAGCTCTATATTTTCAGTGGTCTATCAGGCAACTTGACATATCTAATGTATTCTTGCATGGTGTCTTAGAGAAGGAAGTCTATATGCAACAACCTCAAGGCTTCATTGATGCTTCTCATCCTAACTTGGTATGCAAATTACATAAAGCCCTTTATGGTCTCAAACAGGCTCCCCAAGCATGGTTTTCTACCTTCTATTCCTTTTTACCATCTTGTGGCTTTATCTCTAGCCATTGTGACTCCTCCTTGTTTGTCAAGAAGACTGCAACCTCCATTACTATTCTTCTCATTTATGTTGATGATATCTTGTTAACTGGCAGTGATTCCTCTTATATAGCTACTCTGGTTCATCAAATGCTTGGTGCTTTTGCTATGAAAGAGCTTGGCTTGCTTAATTACTTCCTTGGCATCTTTGTGTCATCTTCTTCTATGGGCTATTTCTTATTCCAGCACAAGTATGCTTCTGAGTTCCTTGCTAAGGCTGGTATGGCTGACTGCAAGCCATACTCTTCCCCTATGGCTCTTAAATCTGCTTTCTCTTCTCCCAATGATAATTTACCTTTTTCCAATCCTTCTCTCTACAGAAGTATTGTTGGAAGTCTTCAATACCACACCATCACTAGACCAGATCTTGTTTTTGTTATGAATTTTGCTTGTCAATTTATGCACCAACCACGTGTTTGACATTTTGTTATGGTCAAAAGGCTTCTCATATATCTCAAAGGCACCCTTGGTTATGGTCTTCAGTTTAGCCTTGGTCCTCTTACACTACATGCTTTTTCAGACTCTAATTGGGCTGATGATTCTCTGGATAGGAGATCAACTACTCGGTTCTGTGTTTTCCTTGGTCCCAATTTAGTGTCGTGGTCTGTTAAAAAGTAGCCTATCGTGGCTAGATCCTCTACTGAAGCTGGGAATAGGGCATTGGCTCAAACTGCTGCTGAGTTAAGCTGGCTTGGTATGCTTCTTTCTGACCTGCATGTTCATTCTTCCTTCCCTACATTGTGGTGTGATAATATCTCTGTCATCTCTCTGTCTTCCAATCCTATTTTTCATGCTAGAACTAAGCACATAAAGGTCGATTATCACTATGTCAAAGAAACGGTAGCTGCTAAACAGCTCACCATTTGTCATATCCCTACTTTTGATCAGGTTGCAGATATTTTCACCAAGCCTCTGTCTATTCCATGCTTTAATTACCTCCAGTCCAAGCTTATGGTTCTTTCTTCTCCCATCAACTTGAGAGGGCATGATAATGTATTTGCAGAAGCTGCAGAAGCTCAACACACATCTACAGAAGAAGCTCAGCCCACACATATCAACTCATGTAAGCTGACCAAGGCAGAGCTACAGTTGAAGCCACAGCTACATCTTGCCAAATCAGTTAGAGCTGCTGTAGGTCATTGTGCACGTGTTTGCATGTAGTGGTTAATTAGTTAGGAAGTTGTTATGTTAATTGTACCTTAGTTAGTTTAGTTAACTAGTTAAGAGAGTTACTAATCGTTGTATATAAATCCCACTGTACTGAAAGATATTTTTTGTTAAGTTGAATAAGATTCATTTTCTCTTCACAGTCAACCTTCAATTCAGCCACCTCTGCCTGAAAATGCCTAACTTGGCTCAAACACTACTAATTCATGCATTGGATAAGGCAATTCCTTTAAATGAGGGACCAATGAAATTCACCAAAGGTCCTATTTTAAAGATTTAAATTCTCAGTGTATATTATTTATAATAAAAATTAAATGAATTCGATAATTGTAACATTTTTATTTTATTCTGTTTGTCTCTTAAAAAATGGATAGTCTATTGTCATTCATTTTTCCAAAAATAAATGTGATAAAATAAAAATATTATAATTATTATATCGATCTAATTTTTTTATAGACGACATCTATTGAGGGTCTTACAAAATAAACTTAAATAACAAGGAAAGAAGAGGCACTAAAACTATGACACTTCATCTTTTCTTTTTCCTTTTTTTTTCACTTAAATATAGTTCAAATCGTTAGTTATGAATTGACAAAACTACCCTATACTATGAATTACATGTTGTCGCTGGTCTCCCATGCAAGGATTGTAAATAAGCCATCAAAAATGTAAAAATAAGAATATTACACGCACAAATTGCACCGAAATTTTGCAAAATGTTCATTATGTGTGCTCACATTTATAATTACAAACATTTTGTGACATATCAGTACATTATGTGTGCGGATCAATGTTGATATAGAACATAGAGAGGGACTCACAATTTTGGAAAATAATTGAGGAGCAATGCCTTGGATCATGGGAAGTCTTCTAGTGGTGCTAGAAGTACTATTGACACAAGTTGGAGAATACAAGCTGTACATGTCGATGATCTTGTAAACATCAGAGTACTTATTGAGGGCATCATTGCAATCACTGGACATATTTAGATCAATGAAGTTGCATTTGCATTTTACATTTGCATACAGATGATTTGATATTATAGCGTGGTCCCACACATAATTGATCATCCACGTCTGATCTATTTCATCATCCAATAATGCATTCCCTATCTGTATTGTAGTTCATGTGCACACAAAACATGTTAGAATATCTACTAACTAAACTTGTGTGTTAAAGTGTTTGTTAACAATAATACTGAGAATACAGAATTAAAACACAAAATTGATCACTAAAATTGCAATGGTATGTAGTTGAGATTTATATTCTGAATTGAATTTGATCCCAATCTTTCATTATATTTTTTGTGAATTATTTTGTGATCTAGTTTGTGTTTTGAATGTTATTAGTTTGTTAACTAAAAAAATAAAAATAAATTTATATGTTAAGTGCTTATTAATTTAGAGAATGAATACATATTTCAATAATAGTGTGTTTATTTTTTTTTTTTGATCGGCAAAGAAAACTTATATAGATGAAAGAACAGAAAAGATACAAAACATTAAAAAAGAGGAGTTTGGAGCTAACAGAAGCTCCAAGCGCCAGTTGGTGAGAAACCAACAAACAAAACAAAAAAACAGGAAGAAGAAAGGCAACCATAGCTAACAAAAAAGCAGGCCAACCAAGCAACACCCGAACTGCAGATAAGAGGAAACAGAGCTAGCAGACTACACAACATGGGCACGACACCCTTGAATCCACAACAGATATGCTTCAAATTTGCACAGATGCCAGCTGGATGAAATCACCTTTGACCTTGGATCAGAAACCACCACCCTTCAGATATAGAGCTTTACATTAAATCAACCATCTGTACACCTTCACAAACCAGAGCCAAGCAGACCTCTGCACGGCCTGCCGCCAAGCTGCATACATACCCACCAGGCTCCGGAAAGAGTCCCAGCAATGTAGACATTCCTGAGATGATATGAAGTTGTGAACAGCATCTGTATAATCAGTAACGGACATAATTGATGTTTCTCCACTAGTTTCCGTACTATCCTTAATTGAAGTTTCTCCACTACCTGATTCAACCAGATCTACCAGATCTGCCAGCATCAACCCCGCAGACTTCCTTGAGCCAAACCTGGTTACACGCACCAGCAGACACGGATTGGCTGACCAGGGCAACAAACCAATCACACACACCACAGAAGCACAAACAGCCCAGCAGCAAAGCCCTAAATACACGAAGTCACCTGATTCAGATTAGCCACTACGTCATGCACTGAGTATGGAAACCCGGGCAGCCCAGACTTGGCCCACAACCCAACCCTTACTTTCACTATTTCACCAAGCTCTTCCATATTTGGCTGGTTTCCTTTAAACACACACTCATTTCTTAACCTCCATACTGACCATAACATTGCAATTGGAACAAGCCTCCAAATCCTCACAACTGACTTCTTGTATTTTGTTCCCATCCACCATAACAGCACACCATCAACTGTAGCAGGAATGGCCCAAGATACTCCCCACCATTGAAGCAAAGATGACCAAACCTTCCATATTTCCTTGCATTGCAGGAACAAATGATCCACGGACTCTGGTTCCAGCTTGCAGAAAAGGCACAGATTCTCCACATTACTGCTTAAGGCCCTAAACCTCTGTAAGAGACTAATGGTTTTAACCCTACCCCTCCATGCCAACCAGCTCAAAAATTGAGCTTTTGGAGGGGCCACACCTCTCCATAACAGGTTAGGAACCTGCATTTTGGGGCCTTGAGTCTCCTCATACCATTTCCTCATTGAAGCCACAGTGAAATGACCTGAAGGAGATGCAGTCCACCTGAGTGAGTCTGGCAGCTCCTCGTTAATCCTGGGAGCAGCTCCTGTCAAGTCTTGCAACCTTTGAACCTCCTCTTCCTCCCACGCAAGAAGAGATCTTGTAAACAGAAGCCTCCAATTTCCTGAGATATCCCTCCTCTGCATGAAAGAGCTCAGATTCCCTTCTTTATCCTCAGATAATCTAAACAACCTTGGGAACTCTACCTTCAGTTGAACATTCGACAGCCACTTATCATGCCAAAAGTGAATCCTACATCCATTTCCTATCACAAGCTTGCAATTAGACGTAAAAAATTCAAAGCGCTCAGCATTCTCCCTTAACACACTCAGAATATCACTCCAAACAAGAGATTCTTTGCCAGTCCCT